TATTGTCACTATTATTATCATTACTATTATCATCATCATCGTCATTATTATTATTATTATTATTATTATCATCATCGTCATCATCATCACTATCATTATCATTATCACTATTATTATTATTATTATTATTATTATCATTATTATTATTATTAATATTATTACTATTATCATCATTATTATTATTATTGTCACTATTATTTTTTTATTATCATCTTTTTCATTATTAATATTATTTTCATCATCATCATCATTATTACTATTATTATCATTGATAACATTTCCACTATTGTCATCATCACCATTCTCATCATTATTATTATCTTTATTATCATTCTTATCATCATGTTTTGTTGTTGTTATCATAGTTATCATTATTATTATCATCATCATCTTTGTTAATATTACATTATCATGTATTAACATGACTATCTATGTTATTAGTATTAGCACTAGTATTACCATTTAATTTTTATCATTATATTATGTTATAATCACTATTATCATTATCTTCATTGTTATTATTATCATTATTATCATTATTATTTTTGTTATTACTTTTTTTTACAATCATTATTATTGTTATTATTGTTATTATTTTTTCATTATCATTATCATTATTTTTGTTATTGTTTTTATAATTTTTATTACCATTGTTATCATTATTACTATTATCACAATCATCATCACTATTATCATCATTATTGCTAGTACCATTATCATTATCATTATTATCATGATTGTTATTATCAGAAATAAAGGATAGAAGAAACTCTATTGGTATGTATAGCCATATTTGAGATTAATGGATTTTTTTCTCAAATTCCTAATATCAGAAAAATGGAAGGAAATGCTATGTTTAAATCATATTTAAAAATATTTAATGTGTTGTGTGATGTTGGTGTGTGTGTGTGTGTTGTTGTGTTATGTGTTGTGTGTGTGTGTTGTGTTGTGATGTGTGTGTGGTGTGTATGTGTGTGTGTGTGTATTGTGTATGTTGTATGTTTTGGTGTTTGTGTGTGTGTGTGTGTTGTTATGTGTGTGTATGTGTGTGTTTGTGTTGTTGGTGTGTGTGTGTTTTGGTGTGTAGTGTGGTATTGTTGTGTGTGTGGTGTGTGTGTGTGTGTGTGTTGTGTGGTATGTTGTGTGTGTGTTGTGGTGTGTGTTGTATTGTGTGTGTGTGTGTGTGTTGTGTTGTGGTGTGTGTGTTGTGTGTGTGTATGTGTGTGTGTGTGTGTGTTGTGGTGTTGTGTGTGTGTGTGTGTGTGTGTGTGTGTTATGTGTGTGTGTGTGTGTGTGTGTGTGTGTATTGTGGTTTGTGTGTGTGTGTGTATGTTGGTGTGTGGTGTGTGTTGTGTGTGTGTGTGTGTGTGTGTTGTGTGTGTGTTAGTGTGTATGTGTGTTGTGTGTAATGTGTGTGTGTATGTGTGTGTGTGTGTGTGTGTGTGTGGTGTTGTGTGGATGTTGTATGTTTGTTATGTACGTAGAAATCCACAACAAGAGAATGATATCATAATATATTGTATTTTCACCGGAAATGTATTCCAAACCGGCTAAACACATCTCTTGCATTGTGAAAACATTTATTCTCACAGATGATGATGAGGACAATCGTGACAAAAAATGAGAATAATAACACGCAAATATAACTAAATGATAGTGACACTAATCAAATCAATTAGTCAATAGATAAACGATAGATAAAGAACAAACGCAAAACCAATAACCACCTAACAACCACAACCATAAAATCACAACCAACAACAACAGTAAACTACAACCACAACCATAAAATCACAACAAACAACAACAGTAAACTACAACCACACGTACCCACAAAAAACACAACAACGAAATACGCTAGACAAATTAAAAATTACATCTTCACTACAATACATTACCAAAAACAAACAAACAAACACACAGTAACTACAACCACAACTAAACAAACAAACATAGTTAACACCCGCGACCACAACCACAAAGAACAATAAACCACAACAAAGCATAACAACCACAACTTTCACCCCCCTCAAAAAAAAAAACAGCCACAAAAGCCACCAACTACAACAGCAAATCACAACCACAGCAACAACAGATTACAAGGCCCTCCAACTGCAACGACACGACAACCAAGCCACAAAATCCACAACAACAACAACACGCACAACACCATATATGAAAATATGAACGAGAATGACCATCTTCACAACACAAGAAATGAAAATTCGATTCAGTCTTGGGTTGTTAATCCTAACGAAGAAGACGAAGATCGAAACCTGTCAAGATATTCATTTCTATTTGTTGTGGGTTGTGAAGTTGTGGTCGGGTTGTGATTCCTCCGTCTCCCACCAACTGCATCGGGACCGCGCCAACTTCACGCAAAAAGGAATTCCGCGCCTCTGTAACCACTGTCCCGTGCGTGATCACGACCGCCAGCGGGTCCACCTGATTGAGGGCCCCTGGTGTTGAGGCGTGCTTGTGCGTGGGCGGGTGCTGGGCGAGGGCGTGGGGGTGGAGGTGTTGCTAAGCAGTGTCCGTGTCCGGCGGGGGTGGACCCGCCCTTTTCTGCAAGGTAGGAAGGGTAACTATAGCTATTATGATACAATATGTAATGAAATAAAGGAATATTAATGATAAATAAATATAAAATGAATAATTAAAAAAGATAATAAATGAAATGACAATAAGATGACAAATAATTATAGAAATATCTAAACATTAATAATATATCAATTATTATATAGTACCATCATTTATATCATTTTATTTCCATGAAAATCAGTTTTCATTATCATGATTTTTATTACTATCATTACTCATCCTATCAGTAGTGACTGACACCATCAATATTATAATCATCAACCAAAGTCATTGTTTTTTCTTATTTATCATTATTATTATTTAATTATAATCATTATCATTATTATTATTTTCAATCAAAATCACCGAAACTAGAATACCTCCTATTCTTAATTAATTTCTTGTGCTTGACGCCTCCCACCCTTGTTATTTAGCAAACGTTATTGAAATAGAAGTAATTACGATGAAATATAATGCAAATGTGAATTCTGATATTTACATAGATGTATAATATAAGAAAGATGAAGATTGCAAGAACGCAAATTATGATGACAAGAATAACAAGAATGAAAATATAATTATGGTCAGAATAAGAAAGCAAATATAATTATGGACAATAACGAAAATGGAAATAAGGTAATGACCAGAATAAAAAAGTGGAATTAAAATAATGGCCAGAAAAAATGGAAAAATGATAATGGGCAAAAAAAAAGAAAAGAAAAAAATAGAAATAAATAATGGTCAAAATAACAGAAACGCAATTAAAATATAATCGGATGCAATTACGTTATGATGAGATAATGATGACGTCACGCAGAGTAATATATGAAAAGGCGCAGCGATTAGGATGATAAAGATGATGAAATATGAGGATAATGATGAAAAGTGTGATAATCATGACAAATAAGGGACTTCAACGGTGATAAAGAGGAAATGGAGCGAGAATCGATAACAGCAACAAAAAAGAAGAAAATGATGATAGCGAGGAAAATGCCAAATGTTAAAAGGAAAGAGAAGAAAACAGAATTAATGATGATTGGATCGCAGGACGAGGACGAGGAGCGGCGCAAGATGGACGGCGAGCGGAAGGGTCGATGGAGAGACAAAATGAATGGTGTTCCTGCGAGGGAAGCTAATCACGTGACGATTGGCTGATCCTAATGGGTGTGTCAATAATGTGCCCTGTTCCAACCAGAGCGGTCCGCCCTCGCCCTCAGAGGTAATAGGCCCTAAATGACGGTGAAAGCAGGGTGATGATGGCGGAGAGGTCGCCCGCCCGCGGACGCGCAGTAATTGCTACCTGGCGAGGCCTTATTGCAGTGACGTCGGTGACTAACATAGCGCGACCTGGACACCACCATTATTTTGACAAGAAGCGCCGGGCAGAAAAGGCGCTGTTTTGTTGTTTTGATGAAGATGTTGTTGTTGATGCGTCGCTGTTGTTTGTTGGCGGGGAGAGCGCGGCGGAGGCGGAGAAGGGACGAGGGCACTGAGGCTCCAGGCGGAGCGCGGCGTCGGGGCTCCGCGACTCCCACGTCCCGGACGGCGCTCGGGGGTCGCCGTCCCCCGCCGAGGGGGGCTGAATGCCGAGCCCTCATTGGCCGGCCGCGGCGCCTCCATCGCGTCGCCCATTGGCTGCCGCAGCCGCCGGCGGCGGCTTCAGCTCCAGCCGCTCGGCGATTGGCGGCTTGGCGGCGGCGCGCTCATCGACCGCCGCCTTGAAGTCGGGGCTGCGGGCGCGGGGCGCGAACTTGGCCTCTAGGCGGTCGGCGGCGGGCGGCTTGAAGTCGGGCGGCGAGGGCGAGCGCCGCAGCCCCGCGTCCGCAAGCGGCCGCCGCAGGTCGCCGCCGAGGATGGCCATGTTGGGCTTGAAGGCCGAGTTGTGGCTGAGGTGCAGCGTGAGGGGCGCCATGGAGGGCGTCATGGGCAGGAAGGGCGGCTTGAACGGCATGGGCGGCAGCAGCGCGGGGTAGTAGGGCGGCAGGGGCGGCAGGCCCGTCCCGCCGCCCACGGACACGGGCGGGAAGGCGCCGCTGCCGGGGAGGTCGGGCGCGAACATCGGCCGCTTCTGACAGGACCGCGGGGCGCGCTCGTGCTGCACGGCTGCGGGGGGAGGGGGGGGGTTAGTGCGTGCCTTTGAGAGGTCGGAATCATGCTCAGGAAGGGGCATTGATGGAGATAGACAGTCATACACATACGCAGAAAATATGCCCCCGCCCCACACACACATACACACGCACAGACACACACACACCGATACCACAACACACACACAAACACAACACACAATCCACAAGACCCACTGTCTCTCCCCACACACACACTCTGCTAATGTATCTTTTATGTACAACACTCTCTCCTCTCCTCTCCTCTCTTTCTCTCCTCTAATCCTCTTTTCTGAGGCCTGAGGCTGTGCCATC